ATGGCTCAGTTGGTTGGAGTGTTATCTTGTACATGAAAAGGTCTTGAGTTTGTCTTGGGGTCATGGCACATACCTAGGTTGCTGGTTTGGTCCTGGTTGGAGCATGTATGAGAGGCAATCAATTGATGCTCCCCCCCCCCCTTCTCCCTCCCTCTCCTTTCCTCTCTCTAAAATCAGTAAACATATCCTCGAGTGAGGATTCAAAAAAATTTAATAAGAGTAAATAAATGTTTAAAAAGAATGAAGACATACTTTAAAGTGGAATTTGGTATAGTGCTTAACTATAATTGGTGGTCAGTAAATATTTCTTGGACAGGTATGTTTAACATCACTTTAGTTGTGTAGCGTAGTAGTTTTGCATCAACTACAAATGATTATGTATTCATCAAAACAAGGTCTCTAGACTTTTTACATTATTAACATTTAGGGCCAGATAATTCTTGAGGTGGGGTGGGAATGGGGTTGTCCTGAGCAATGTAGGATGTTTAGCAGCATCTCTGATTAACACATTAGATATCTGTAGCCTGCAGTTGTGGCAACCCAGAATGTGTCCATATATTCCCAAATATCCTCTGGGGGTCCAGGCAAGTCTCCTCTGGGGAACCATTAATGAAGGAGAGAAAGTAAAGTTTTAGCACATTACCTGTGGCAGTAGATTACAGCTCTATAAGTTTCAATTTCTTAGTATGGAAATAGTAGCCTAGAAAGATTAATTAATTTATCCACAGATAATAAGTCAACAGAGTTAAAATTCTAATTCAAAGTGTCTCTTATTTCAAAGTGGTACTCTCAACCAAAGTGCTGTACTATTTCTGCATAACTAAGATAGTATATGACTTATCAGTAAGATAAATTACCCTAGTTAGACTTTTGAAAAAAATATTCTTTTTTAGAAATATTTAGATTTAAAATGATTTATGGTAATCATCAACTTTGCCAATCAAAGATATGTCTGGACTAACAGCACTTCGCAAATGTTTTATCTGGTAAACACTGCTTTTAGACTGAATTTTAAGGACATTCAGTACAAGCTGACATTATGTGACAACTTGGTTTCAATATCTTATACTACAGTAGAGTTTAAAAAATATTAGATGTGTTTTTTGTTTTTGTTTTATCCTCACCTGAGGACATTCTTAATTTTTTTTCAGATAGAGTGGGAGGGAGAGAGAGTAAGAGAGAGAGAAAGAGAGAAACATCGACGTGAAAGGGACACATTGAGTGGCTGCCTCCTGCACGACCCTAATCAGAGCCAGGGACAAACTGCAACCGAGGTATGTGCCCTTAGCGGGAACCGAACCAGGGTCTCTCTGGACCGCAGGCTGACACTCTAACCGCTGAGCCAAACCGTCCAGGGCTAGATGTGTTTGTATGTCAGCAGAACATGGTGATTTACTAATTTTTTAAAAGATTAATTCTGTTTTCTAAAATAACTGAGTAACCATGACGATCAGTTGGAATTCTTATATCCTAATGAGTTTTCTGCTATATGTCACGATTTAGGTCTTTAATTCTTAATGGAAGATTATATAAAAACTTATCAATTTTACAGTTTCTCTAAAGTAGAATATGCAGGAAATACATGACATTATATATGTACATCAGCATCATTTTGGCAGTTTTTAAGAATAAAGACTCCTTTAGTCTCTTTTCAGAAATGGTTGAATTTGGAATGGGTACTCAACATGAAGTTTAAAGTTTTATAAGTGATTTTGATGTATAGTCAGCATTGAGAATCAATGCTAATAAATAAATGATAGAACAATTTCTTTTCAAAAATAAATCACCTTTTTAAAAATTGTAAGTGTGGTATTGCTATATAGAAAACAATAATGAAATACCTTTTTAAAAAAACACATCAGGTGGACAGCTTAGGTTGGTAGGCACTCTTACAGTGTTAGTGTAAGTATAGGTTGATATGCCTTTGGAAGTGCAATGTGACAGTATCTTTAAAATTTTAACCATGCTTATTCTGTGACACAGCCTTTACACTTAGGATCATCTATCCCAAAGGAATAATAGTATAAGGACTTATAGGGATTTGTGTTCAAGGAAATGCCTGTCAGGATATTAAACAGGAGCGTGTTACTCCATCATGAATGTCACAATGGGCAAAAAGTTATGCAATCACTGTTCTAAGTGTCACTATTATAAGTACTCTCAAAATGCCAACATTTCCAGAGTAAGTTATCTTGAAAATTTGTTTCTTTTCCCCCATAGCAGTTGCTCTGTGTGGCTGTTTTATTCCAATTAGATGATTTGAAAACAACTTTTACAAGATTATATGAATAGAGTAGAAAGTTCAACTTTATTTTTTTAATTTTATTGATTTTTTTTTTTTTTTTTATCCTCATCCGAGGACATTTTTCCATTTTTTGTACAGACAGAGTGGGAGGGAGAGAGAGGAAGAGAGAGAGAGGGAAACATCGATGTGAAAGGGACACATCGAATGGCTGCCACCCACACGACCAACCAGGGCCGGGGACAAACTGCAACCGAGGTACATGCCCTTAGCGGGAACCGAACCCGGGTCTCTCCGGACCGCGGGCAGACGCTCTAACCGCTGAGCCAAACCGGCCAGGGCTAATTTTATTGATTTTTTAAATATATATATATATATTCTTTTTTTTTTGATAGAGAGGAAGGGAAATAGAAACATCGATGTGAGTGAGAAACATCCACTCGTTGCCTCCTGCACACCCTCTACTGGGAATCGAGCTGGCAACCCGGGCATGTGCTCTGACCAGAACCAAACTGGGCATGGGATAATGCTCAATCCATTGAGCCACACTGGCTGGACAAAATTTTGTTTTTTAATCCTCACCTGAGGATATTTTTTCATTGCTTTTTAGATGGGGCGGGGGGTAGAAACGTCAATGTGAGAGAGAGACATTGATTAGTTGCTTCCTGCATGACACCCACAGGGACTGGGAATCAAACGTGTGGCCTTTCGATCCACTGAGCCAAACCAGCCAGGGCATATTTTAATTTTATGGTTTATACAATTTGACAAAGCCTTAAAGGGAAAGTCAGAGAAGGAAAATGCCCATAGTTACTGCTACTTATATGATAAGAAAAGGGCAAACAATATTGCATTTCATCAGTGTTGAAGACTTAGTACATGTGCTCCTTTTAAATATATATGAATGCAATTAAAATGGGATCAGATGTCTGGCCAGTGTGGCTCAGTGGTTGAGCATCAACCCATATACCAAGAGGTCACCAGTTCAATTCCCAGACAGGTCACATGCCCAGGCTGTGGACCCAATCTCCATTGGGGGCATGCAAGAGAAGGCCAGTTGATATTCTCGCTCATTGATGCTTCTCTCTCTCTCTCCCTCTTCCTTCCTCTCCCTCTAAATCAATAAAGAAAAAAAATAAATAAATGAAAAGGACCAGATGATAGGAGCTTAAAAAGTCAGATTGTGAGGATGGAAAGTTAGGCAGTTTTTAAAAATTAAGAATAAGATTGTTTTAGTACTATATTTATTTCCCTTATGTACTGATATGGTTGTGGATGCTGTATATTTGTGAAGGGAGCAGAAATCTTTCAGGCTTTTAAAAATATGAACTATCTTTAAAGAATTCGAAGACTAGTACCATTGACTTCAACCTCTTTGAATCTGTTATCTTGCTGACAAAATGGAGGCAAGAGAACTAAAAATCCCCAAAATAATACTTAGAGGAACCATAGATGCTCAATATAAGTTAGATTATGTATTGTCATTCATAGAACTACTCAGAGACATCAAATATGGATTAAGTCCCTTCCTTGTTTGGGAACTGCGTTGCCTTTAGAGATTTATTTAAGTTGTCTTAAAATTCATTCAAATATTCTTTGTTCTGACACTAGACATACTTGCGAAGCTTCTAGAATTTAAGGGCCCTGTGTCATTGCCTTGTGCTTTTGCTCTTGGTTTTCATTTTGTCTACACACAACAACAGTTTGTCAGACTCCACAAAACGTACTTGTTATTTTAGCCTGATGAAATGCTTGCTGTCAGTTAAAAGAACAGATCTATAATTTGAAAACAAGCCATCATGTAGGGCAGGGGTCTTCTAACTTTTTCTGTAAAGGGCCAGCTGCTTTAGGCTTTGTGGGACATACGATCTCTGTTGGAGCTACTCAACTTTGATGTTGTAATATGAAAGCAACCATAGAATATACATAAATGAATGAGTGCGACTGTGTTCCAATAAAACTTTATTTATGGACACTGAAATTTAAATTTCTTATAATTTTCATATCACAAAATATTCTTGTTTTGATTTTTAAATGTTTTAGTCATTTAAGAATGTAAAAGTCATGCTTAGATTATGGACTCTACAAAAATATGTTTTCAGCCAGATTTGGCCAGTGGGCTCTAGTAGGGCATAATTTACAAACTTACTATAATTGTTATTGGATAGTAATTGTTAGGCATTTAAGTGAATGGTCTTTTTAGTAGGGAGTGTATATATCAGGGTTTGGATTCTGCCTTTTTTCTTTTATCCAAGTCTACTTTTAGTCATAACTATATATGACTAATAGAAAACAGATAGGAAAAACATAAGGTTTTGTTGTTGTTTGGCCCTATTTAAGAATTTAAAGGGCATCTTTTAAAGGCTAATTACACTCAAATTTTTTCTTTACCTCAGGTCAGATTCTATAAATGTAAATTTCAAGTAATGCATGCAAGATTTTCTATACTTCGAATTTTAAAAATTTACAGAGAAGGAATTTTTTTAAAAAAATAATATGTACGTACACATCTATGTTGTGTGAGCACTATTGAGCAAAATAATACAGGGGTGGGCAAAAGTAGGTTTATGGTCGCAATTACACAAAATAGTTCCTTGTATTATTTATTAATTTTTGTATTTCCATACAAACAACTATAAACCTACTTTTGCTCCACCCTGTATTTTATTTTTAAAATAAAAATGATTTTTATACTGACTATAATAATTTTATATGTTAAGGCTGTGATTTAAAATTCTGTTAACTTTGCTTTCTGTAGACACCAGAGAAGAAACAATCAGAATCATCCAGAGGAAGAAAGAGAAAAGCAGAAAACCAGAATGAAAGTAGTCAGGGTAAGTGAAGCAGAATTTTCCTTCAGAGCCAAATAGGCATTTACAGTTATTCTGATTTTACATCAGTTAGTAGTTTAATTGTAAAATAAGTAATTTCATGTTTTTGTGGGATTTTTTTTATAGCTATTACATAATTTCTGCCTTTAATAATAGTTTAGGAATATACTCTGCATAACAAATAATAATATGAAGTTGGAATCTTTTTGTACCATAGATAGTGTGTAGTTACTGTTTAGGCTTTTTGACATTTCCTTTTTAAAATTTTTTTTGGCTCACTTACCTAAATCAGTTGACACCCCTTACTCTGGAAACCCAAATTGCCTTGGGCCAAAGGAAGATCTGCTAATACTAAGTGTCAAGCATCTGGCAAGCATTACCTTCACACCTTTCATTTTTATCTTTTTATATAAATTATGGTATTGAATAAGAACTTTAGATCTCACTTTAAAACAAGTATGTACCCACCTAGCCGGTGTGGCTCACTGGTTGAGCATTGACCCATGCACCAAGAGGTTGCCGATTCAATTCCCCATCAGGACACATGCCCAGGTTGTGGACCCAATCCCCGGTGGGGGGCATGTAGGAGGTGGCCAATTGATGTTCTTGCTCATTGATGTTTCTTTCTCTCGCTCCCTGCCCCTTCTTCTTTCTCTAAAATCAATAAAGAAAAAAAACCCAGCCCTGCCGGTTTGGCTCAGCAGTTAGAGCATCGGCCTGTGGAACAATGAGTCAAGGGCACATACCTCGGTTGTGGTACATCCCCTGCCCTGGTCAGGTCATGCAGGAGGCAACCAGTCGATGTGGTTCTATCACGTCAATGTTTCTGTTTCCTCCCTCCCTCCCTCCCACTCTATCTGATGATAAATAGAAAAAAAATATACTCAGCTGAGGAGTTAAAAAACAAGTACTCAAACTTAATCCTTTTATTTTTAAAAAAGACTATAAAAATAATTGAGAGATTTTTATTAAGGTACCATCTTTTTCTTTTCATATCTATTCTTTATCCTTTTTTGCATACCTTTTGTGATGTGAGCTAAGAAAATTATTTTTATTTGACTTAAATTATAATTGGACAACAAATGAACATATAATGGACAACAAAATAGTATTGTCATTTAATTTGGCCACTCTGTATTAAATGTAATGAAGTGAGTTCTGCAAATGATTTTATATATATAATGATGATTTTATACATATATTACATGATTACTCTGTAAGGTCTAGGGCCATGAACCTATGCTTACTAGTACTTTTACATGTGGCACTGGCATCAAGGAATGTGTATGTAGCATTTGTTTTTGCAGAAGGAAGGAGTCAAGTCATTTTAGCACCTTTCTCTAGGCGTGTGATATTTTGTATCTCAGTCTGTACCTGAGCTCCTTTTTGATCTTAGTGTAGTTCCCCCAAGTTTTGGTTAATGGACTTGGAGCTTTATTTAGTGTAAAGGTTCATTGATTATGATCATTTCAATTTTAGATTTAAAAACCCAATTGAAAGCAGGTCCCAAAGTAGGGTAGGACTTCTGGGTTGGTTGATCTAATCTATGTCTTTAAGAACCCACTTTTTTTTCCCTTTGTGGTCTGCTATATGCAGAATTGTTTGATTTTTCTTATGGTTTTAGGTGGGCTACCAGTTTTAACTAGGTTTACTCATATCAGTTTCCCCACTCATATTTGCTTTAAGAAAAGGACTGGATTAAGGGGCCTCTGGGACATTATCAAGTACACAAACATTTGTATCGAGGATACCAGAAGAGAAGACTGGAACAAGGAATTGAAAACCTATTTGAAGAAATAATGGCAGAAAACTTGCCTAACCTGGTGAAGGAAATAGGTACACAAGTCCAGGAAACAGAGTCCCAAACAAGATGAACCCAAAGAGACCCCCACACCAAGACAAAAAAAAAAAGAAAGAAAGAAACGCAAAGGACTGGCTTTCTGTGGGGTTTTTTCCTCTTTCTTTGAAATGACCCTCTTCAAGTCTAGAGCAAACCTCTTCTGTCTTCCTATTGACCAGAATTGGGTCATGTGTTCATTCCATAACTGCTTACATCCAACAAAGGCATTATTGCCCTTAAGAAAATCAGGCACATCTCTGAAATTGAAAAGGGGTGAAAGTTCCCATAAGGAATACAGGCTTTTTGGAAAATGGATGCTACCTGAACAAAGTTGAATTTCTTAACGGAAGGGTTAGTAGGAATTGAGGCCAGGTAGGAGTCAGCTTCCCCTAAAGTTAGATATGCTATGTAGGGGAAGGAATGTTAACAGAACAAAATTTGGGTTCAATTGGGCAAATAGCTTGTGGATAGATAACCAAAAATGTCTCAGTGTTCATTTAAAAATAGCACTTCTTCAGAATCCACTAAAGTTGTTACAGGCACAAGGGAAATTGCTTTGGTATAAAATCTTTACAGTCTTCTCTGACCACTAAATAAACCTATATAAAATTATTGTTCAAAATGTCTAGGTAGCACCTATAGTCCTAAGTTCTTATGTAGTTAAAAATTCCCCTAACTTGTCCCAAGTGTGAATTTAAGGTTGTTGAACTTTTAAGTGTATTGTTTGTTTACCTTAGTAATGCCTGGCACATAGTAACCACTCAAGAAAACATTATTGAGTAAAATAGATGAATAAATGAATATAAGTCAGTATTGAATAGATAAATCTATATGGTTTTATTATCCAAAACTTTTGATTCAATGGTATCATTTTTTTCTTTTGTAATTTGAAGAAATCTTGTATTCTGTATAGTTCCAATGAAGGGTGGCTGACTCCCATCCAAAAAAGTATTCTCTAAATACCATATTTCTTAGCAGCTACCTACTTCAATTTTTATAAAACTGAGTCCATTTTAGAGCCAAACTTTTAATTAAAGACCTGTGTCTGCAATGTTTTGGATCACTATATGTTTATGCAAGTACAATATTTAAAATCTAGTTCATTAAAAAACAGCCTATAAATTTGGAAATACTCTTTAGAGAACGAAAACATTTTTAGAAATGGCATTCATACTAAAGCATGTATTGTCAGTTTGTTATGGTTTGTGTTAACCAAAGCTTTTTTATTATTAGTTACAGGTTTGTCAATTATGCAGCTGCCTTTTAGCTTTTTTTTTTAATTCATTGATTTGCTTTAATGAAATTAGGAGACATTAAGTGACGTTAATAACTGACTTGAAATCTATAAAACTCTTTACTTTTATATTTTAGGGAAAAGTATTGGGGGACGTGGCCACAAAATTAGCGACTATTTTGAAGTAAGTTCTTTGAGGAACATCTCTAGTTCCTAATATAATTCTGCTGTGGGCTGAGATAATTTCTTTGGAGCACAAAGCCAATTTTGGATGATCTGTTTGATTAGAGCATATCTTCAGTCTATGTGATATCTTGTCTTCTTAGGAACATTAAAATTTACTTGTATGTTGGGATGGCACATCATGATTTTCAAAGTACTTTCTCATATTTGTTTATAATAACTTGGGAGATTAGCAAAATAGGTATTTACAGACGAGGAAACTGAGGACTAGAAATGTAAAGTAGCCACCTAATGGCAAATTCTGAGTGGAAGAGCCAAGAGTAGAACTTAAAGCCTGATACTCCAGTTCAGAATTCTTTCAGAAGTCAGTATAGGATTTACTGCACCACAGCCACATTTGAGTCCTGTGGATGGAGATGAAATAATGTCAATTTAAGCGTCCCTGAAAATAATAAGCAGTGGTAAATTTCAACTCTTACCCAGTCCTATAGTGTTTTCTTGCTTCTACACAGAAACACTTTTGGCTACCAGTTTCACATTATAAAACATTAATATGATTATTAAAACAACCATGCCCTGGCCAGTTTGCTAAACGGTTAGAGCATTGGCCTGCAGACCAGAGTCCCAGGTTAGGTTCCTGCTAAGGGCACATACCTCAGTTGCAGTTTGTCCCTGGCCCTGGTTGGGGTCGTGTGGGTGGCAACCACTCAATGTGTCTCTCTCACACCGATGTTACTCTCTCTCCTCCTCCCTTTTTCCCTCCCGCTCTATCTGAAGATAAATGCAAAAATGTCCTTGGGTGAGGATTAAAAGCAAAAAAACAACCATGATCTATCTACTCAGTTGAAAAATATTTATATTTACTTGAGAATGAGAACAGAATTTGTTAATCAGGGCAAGTGCTGCATTAAAGAAAATTTTTTTCTACCTTCCATTGTTTTTTGGGTTTACAGAATCTAAGGTAAAACTGTTGCTGATTACGAGACAATGCTTTTTAGTGGAGGTCAGTCCTTCAGTGTAATATCATTAAGAATCTTTGCCAAAGGTAGGATCCTTTGAAATAAAATCTCAAGTCTCTTGAATGCCTACTGTGTGCTAGCCATTATGCTGGGCACTATAGATAAAAAAAAATTTACACGAAGTTCCTATGTTGCAGAAAGTTATTTAGTGAACACACTAGGAAGTCTCCATCTCTGCTTGCTGCTCATGTCTAACACCCTGAGAGGATGCCAGTAAGAGCAAATTTTCTCCTCCCATTCGTGATACAGAAACATGAGAAAGATAGCTATGAAACAGAATAGTTGCCTTATCTTTCTGTGTAGCTAAATTGTGCACTGTAACACACTCATGCATGAAAGAAAGGATCGATTTTTGTTAGATTTTGTGCTGGTACAGGGAAGGGACTTTGTAGAATTCTTTTATATAGTGCTGTGAACATTCAGATATTTAACACATCTTCAGAATGATGATTCTGTTTTAAGATGGTTGACTAGGTTCACTAACATCTACATGTTAACATATTAATGTTTTGGGGGATTAGGGATTATACTGGTTAAACAGACATTCAGAGTCGTATACATCATTGTGTCAGTGCTGTCACTACAATTCCAAAGTTATTGTTGAGTCTTAGACTTTAGTTTTGTGCTAAAATTTTAAGGAAAAATAAGATATGTTCGTTGCTTTGGGAGAATTTGTCTTTGATTTGCCACAATAACAAATTATCTACAGTCAGAATGTTCAAGAAATAAGAGTCTGTACAAGACATAGTCTTGTTATGTTCTTATGATCAGTATTTAGTCTTTCAGGACTGAGCTGTGACTAACATTCGTTTTGCTTTTTCTTGACCTATTTAAATGACTGTTGGATTTAATTTAAAATAAGATATATTTAAATTAATTCTTAATCCTATGTGTAAAATAACATTTATCTAAACCTGTTTTAATAGTGATGTTTTCTTTTTGCCCTCAGTACCAAGGTGGGAATGGCTCAAGTCCGGTGAGAGGCATACCCCCTGCCATACGTTCTCCTCAGAACTCGCACTCACATTCCACTCCCTCCTCATCTGTGAGTGTTTAGGTGCATAGACTTAAAGGGAGTTATGCATACTGAATAACTCTTACAATTTGTTGTCTTTATTGAGAACTTCTATGTATATTAATGTTTATCTTTTTTAAAAACTATTCTGTAAGTGAATTGAGTCCTTTTTGGTGATCTGATGCTATTAGAACTTTATTTCTGAAAGTGAGATTCTTAAGTTAAAGTTTTCCTGAACTCACTATATCCAAGAAGTAATGTTTCTGTACAAGAATGCTGTTGAGCCTGTGGGACTAATATGAATACTCTTCTATCAGTCCACATTCAGTAACTCACTTCTAATTTTTAACTTTCTTTTGAATTAAATTTCTTAACCACTGAAATGATAGCATAATGCCTTTCTGGGTATCTTTAAGAAAAAGATAGGTAGCCATCAGCCTTGGAGTATTTAATTCAGTATAGGAGAAGGATCTTGGACCTGAAAATTATAACTTTTTGGTTTTTTTTCCTAACGTTTTAAGACCTAATTCTTTATCTGCATTGTTTTACATACTGGATTTCATTTTTTCTTTCATTATGTGAAAGTTTAGTAGCTAACCAGGAAAACAATGTTGGCTTTCAGTAATTTAAAGATGAATTAAAGATTTTTTTAAAATCAAGTATCTCTTATTTATTTAAGTACCCTGATTGTATTTTCATTGTACCCTACTGGTCCTTGCCTATAGACATATACTTAATTCTTTCTTAATCATTTTGTACCTTGGGGCACATCATATTGCCATATACAAAATGAAGCATAATACTCTACAATAACTGTAAGAGTTGTAGTGTTAGTATTGATACAGTGATATAATCTGCTGTTTACAATTAATGTGTTTTAAAACTAGTGACAAATAAACCATGAAACTCATCAGTAAATTGATGTTATACTACATTTGAGCATTCATTATTGTCCTTAGTAGTAAGCATTCTGTATTAAGATCTTTAGTTTTACTTTTTGAACTGTAATAATCTGTTTTTAACATTTTTGTTTTAACATGATGTATTGGCCTTGTTTTATTTAACTGATTGAAAGCATTAACATTTCTTTTATAGCACTAGAATGTAAGCTTGAAGGCAGGGAATATATGTTTATTGTTTGTTTCTCACTGGGCCTTTTGTGCTTATTGAATAAATGGTGATTAAAAGTTTTACAATTAGTTATGGTTAAAATTTTTTTTTAATTGAATTTTTTAGAGAGAGAGGAAGGGAGAGAGAGAAATAGGAACATCGACGTGAGAGAGAAGCCATCGATCGGCTGCCTTCTGCACTCCCACTACTGGGGCTCCAGCCCCATCATCTGAACACCAAAAGGTTGCCTATTCGATCCCCACTTGATCGATGTTTTTCTCTCTTCCTCTGTCTCTCTCCTTCCTTTCCTCTCTAAAATCAATAAACATATCCTCAGGTAAGGATAAAAAAACGAAAAGAAAAATGTTAAGTAATTGTTGCTAAATAGAAGCCTATTTTTTTTTCTTGCTAATGTAAACTTTTTAATTTTCTTTTTTTTTTTTAAGGTTCGACCTAATAGCCCTTCTCCTACTGCATTAGCTTTTGGGGACCACCCTATTGTACAACCAAAGCAGTTATCCTTTAAAATTACTCAGGTAAATAGTTACTGAAATTTATTTGTATGATTTCTAAGAAATGATCAACTCTGTACAAACAACACATATGTCTTCTCTTTGTTTTGGACATATTCACAAAGTAAAATTATGCATCAAGAAACCTTATTATTAAACAAAAGAGCAATTTGTAAGGGATAAGAAATTGAAATTCCCGTTCGGCTAGTGTGGCTCAGTGGTTGAGCATCGACCCATGCACCAAGAGGTCGCCAGTTTGATTCCCAGTCAGGACACATGCCCAGGTTGTGGGCCCAATCCCCAGTGTGGGGCATGCAGGAGGCAGCCAATCGATGTTATCTCTCATCGATGTTTCTATCTCTCTCTCCCTCTCCCTTCCTCTCTCTAAAAATCCAGTAAAAAAAAAAAATTTTTTTTTTTTTAAAGAAATTGAAATACCCAGTTTACTATCATCTTGTTCTGTGTTACACATCGGTTAAATATATAGATGTTTTAAGCAAATTAAATAAAGAGAACAACCATAATGTGTCAGTTCTGTTTACTGATTTTTTTTTTTTAATTTAACATCCAAGTATATGTAATCAGTGTCTTCCAAAGCTGTTACATTTATATAAGTGGACATCAAAGCCATTCATTTTGGGTTTCTATGTATATTAATACATGCTACACACTTAATAACAATCATTTGAAAATTGAATTAATCATATAGCTTTTACACTTACTTAGTTTTATTAATTTTGAGTACTGTTTTTGTTTCAATTTTTCTCATGTGACAGTTGTTGGATGACACTGGCTCAGACTGTGATGGGAAGAGTTGATCTTTTTGCTTGGCCACTTCACTTGCCCGAGTTATTGCCATGAGGCTTTTTGTAATAGTTTAGGTCATATCTAAACTGTTGTACATGCATCAAAACTTCTTTTGGGGGGGCGGTGTGAGATGATCTTTAGGCTAGGATAATAAGTATGTTACTTTTAGTCAGTGAACAGCTAGTGAAAGTTTTTGCCATTTTCGAAAATCAGAGTTGATAGCATAAAGTAGTGGTTATATTGAATATATCAATCTTCTAAATTTTTAAATACTTAATCTTTAAATGTTTCTTTATAAGTTTGTAGCACTTATGCTTCTGATTAAAACAAAACTGTACTCAGACTTTTTGGAGTACCCTTTACATACACACACAAGATAAAATATTTTCTTTGCTTTTTAGAATCAGAGTATCTAATTTTATGTTTACATATAATTGATATATATAGTGGCGATAATAAAATAACTTTCTTTCATTTAGACCGATCTCACAATGCTGAAATTAGCAGCATTAGAAAGTAATAAAAACCAGGACCTGGAAAAGAAGGAAGGTCGTATAGATGACTTGCTCAGGGTAAGTAGTAGGTCATGGGATATAAGGTGGGGAGGCTAATTATTTGGCAATAGTAAAATTGTTGAGAAAATACTTAGCATTGCAAAAAATAAGCCTTTTCTGGTTGAATAAATACCTGATTGAAAATATCAGCTTTAAAGTGAAAATCATTTTATTAGCTCTTTAAAATGTGAATTGAGAAACAGTTGGAAAAATAGAAGGCCATCTGTAATACTTTTAACAATAAAGATAAATTAAAAATAAATAAATACTAATGCCCAAACTCCACCCTGAGGGGTTCTGATTAAATTGGTGTGATGTAGGGTTTGTACATTTGTAGTTTTAAAAGCTCCTCCAGATGATTCTAATTTAAGCTAGCTTTGAGAATCATAGATATAGAAACTCAATAAAACTAGCATCCATGATCCTACCTTAGTGATCAATATCTTTGAAATACCCAAAGTGCCTTTCCTGACCGGTCACACTTACTGTCCCACATCCCTTCACCATTAACTGTTCTCTGTGAGTTTTGTATTTATTATGCCTTTACGGTTCTCTGTGTTTTTTTTTTATCCTTACCCGAGGACATTTTTCCATTTTTTGTTCAGATAGAGTGGGAGGGAGAGAGAGAGAAACATCGATGTGAAAGAGACACATCGAGTGGCTGCCACCCACACGACCAACTAGGGCCGTGGACAAACTGCAACTGAGGTACGTGCCCTTAGCGGGAACCGAACCCGGGTCTCTCTGGACCGCAGGCCGACGCTCTAACCACTAAGCAAACCGGCCAGGGCTCTTTGTGGTTTTATTACATATATCGATGTATTCTTAACAACATTATTTCAGTTTGTTATTTGTTTTTTTTTAAATCCTCACCTGAGGACATTTTTCCATTTTTTGTTCAGATAGAGTGGGAGGGAAACAGAGAGAGAGAGAGAGAGAGAGAGAGAGAGAGAGAGAGAGAGAAACATCCACCTGAAAGGGACACATCGAGTGGTTGCCACCCACACAACCCTACCAGGGCCAGGCACAAACTGCAACCGAGGCATATGCCCCCAGCAGGAACCGAACCCAGGTGTCCAGACCGCAGGCCAATGCTGTAACTGTTGAGCCAAACCGGCCAGGGCTCTTTCAGTTTGTTATTGAATTTTATATAAGCAGTTACACTGTATGTACCCTGTTTGTTTTCACTAAACAGTGTATGTGTGATTATCATGTTTGTTCATTTTACTGCTATTCATTGAGGCATGTGAATGTACCATAATTTATCTTTTCTTCCCTTGTTGGTGGACATTTAGTTTCTACTTTTTGCTAATATGAACTGTTCAAAACATTCTTGTACATGTTTTCTAGGGCAGATATGGAAGGATTTCTCTGTGGTTTATGCTAAGAAGTACCGGGCTTGCACATCTTCAACTTTGCTTTATAATGTCAAGATTTTCTAAAGTGGTTGGATCCCACCACTAGTGTGCAGGAAATAATCTCATTGCTCATTATCCTTGCCGAGTCTTATTATAATCAGATTTAACTTTTTTTTTAAATTTTGGCCAATTTTATGGATGCAAGAAGGTGTCTTTAATTATGTGTATTCCTATTTATTTTTTGAGCATCTTTTAAAATATTTATTAACCATTTGTGTTTCTTGGAAATAACTGATCATTTTTTTTGGCTCATTATTGTATTAGATTGTCTTTCTAATTGATGTCAGTTTTTTGTTCTGACGATCAATATGCATACAGCGTGGGGCAAAAGTAGGTTTACAGTTGTTAATATGCAAAACAATTTATTCTTGTATCATTTATTAATTACTGTGTTATTTTCTATATGAACAACTGTAAACCTACTTTTGCCACACCCTGTATATTGATTTTCTCCAATTATGTGAGTTGTCTCTTCATTTCTTAATGCTATCTTTTGATGATTAGATGCATTCACAACTTTTATGGGATTAATATCATTTTGTTGTTGTTGTTGTTTATCCTCACCAGAAGATATTTTTCTGTTGAGTTTTAGATAGAGTGGAAGGGAGGGAGGGGGAGAGAGAGAGAGAAACTTTGATGTGAGAGAGACACATTGATTGGTTGTTTCCTGCATGACCCTGACCAGGGCCTGGAATCAAACCTGCAACCCAGGAACATGCCCCTGACTGGGAATTGAGCCCAAGGCCCTTCGTGGTCCATGGGCCGACACTAATCGCTGAGCGAAACTGGCCAGGGCAATATATCTTTTTTATAGATTATGTTTTATTTGTACTAAGTTATTAGAAAAGATATACCAAAAGATTTCTTTTCCTTATGACCATAAAGTTCTTTCTATATTTTCTTTTATAAGTTTTATAGTCTGGTTTTTCAATATAAATTGTTAACCTTCCTAGAATCTGTTTTTGGGTATAGTGTGGAGAAGTAGGATATAATTTTAGTTTATTTTTATATAAATAATCAGTTGTCCAGCCCTTTTAATTAAAAGTCCACTCTTTACTGCCAGCTCCATCATACAATCTAATTTTCAAATACAAGTGGATCTATTTCTCTGTTCTCGGCCATGTTCTGTGTTCTATTTGTGTATTCCTGTGCTGATTTCAAAACATCTTTTTTGTTGTCTTGGGCTGTTAGTAACAGAGAACATAAACAATAGTACTTTAAATGAGATACAGGGTTATTTTTTTGAGAGAAGAACAGAAGTGGGCAGCCTGGGTATGATGGCTCCACAGTAAATATATAGGATTTTGATTCCTTCTGTTTTTCTGCCCTCTCATTCTTAGTGTATGTTTTCTATATTGATGGTCATATGATGGTACAACATGTTTATTTGAGTCACAGTGGTGATAATATGTATTCCTGAACAGAAAACAGAAAGAAGAAGGTAATAACAAAGGCAGCAGTTCTATGTGCAGCCTTCTTGGATAGTCTGTTCCATAGCTGCAAGGGAAACTAGGAAATGTGTCTTTTAGCTAGGCAAAAGACAATAAAATGTTAGCTTTTCATTATTAAGGAAGAAGAAAATATATTTGGGCCATCATTTTTTTTCTTACTGTAACTTTCTGTTAAATCTTGATACGTGGTTGAACAAATATCCTTTTCTTTTTGGTTATATGTGGTGGCCCTTGTAGTCTTAGAGGAATGTTAGAGTCAGTTTTTCAAGTTACACACACATACAGTCTGTTAGGGTTTTGTTTGAACTGCTCCTGATGCAATGATGAGAAACTGTTGATGCCAAATTCTATTTATGTTCCTCAGAAAATATCTTTATTTTACCTGTTTTCTTGAAAAAACAAATTGTATTAGATATATAATTTTAGGTTGGTAACTATTATCTCCCAGCATTTTTTATTTAATATGCCTGTGCTAGACACTTTCTATGCTATTTTTCAATTATTTTTAACTAAGGTAGATGGCATTGCCTCTATTTTAAAAATAAGACAACTGAATTTAGAGTCACATAACTTAGAGTGGATTGGAACCCATGGAGAATGGATACAAATTCCATGTACTTTTTACTACACAATTAAGCAGCATTTAATAGTATTAATTCATGTAAGCAGATGTTTTAAAAAGTTTTTTTAGTATCATACTCAAATATATAATTTTATTAATCCTTTCCCTTTTTAAAATTAATTAATTTTTGTTACAGATGTTTCTCCTTTTCCCCCACTGATCCCCCCTTCCCTCCCTGCGCTCCTCAGCTTTGTTGTCCATGTCCATTGTTCATTCATACATGCATATAAGTTCTGTGGTTTATCTCTCCCCCGCACCCCCTCATCTGGGGATTGTCAGTCTGTACCCCACTTCCTCAGACTGTTATGTTCATTATATTCCACAAATAAGTGAGATCATAATGATACTTGTCTTTCTCTGTTTGGCTTGTTTCGCTTAGGATAATACTTTCCAGGTCCCTCCATGTCTCCTCAAAAGATAAGAGATCTTTTTTCTTACAGATGCATAGTACTCCATTGTGTGTATGTACCACAGATTTTTGATCCATTCATCTACTGATGGACATTTGGGCTGTTTCCAGATCTTAGCTATTGTAAATAGTGCTGCTATGAACATGGGGGGTACATATATTCTTTCTGATTGGTATTTCAGGTTCTTAGGGTATAGTCCTAGACATGGGATCACTGGGTCAAATGGCAGTTCAGTTGGATAGCTACATGCAAAAAAATGAAACTAGACCATCAACCTACACCATACACAAGAATAAACTCAAAATGGATAAAAGACTTAAATGTGACTTGTGAATCCATAAAAATTCTAGAAGAAAATGTAGGCAACAAAATTTCAGACATCATACACAGCAGAATTTTTACTGATACATCACCTAAGGCAATAGCAACAAAGGAGAAAATGAACACATGGGACTACATCAAACTTAAAAGCTTATGCACAGCAAAAGAAACAACCACCAAAATGGAAAGGCAACCCACTCTGTGAGAGAGCATAATTGCCAATGATACATCAGATAAGGGGTTAATTTCCAAAATATATATAGTGCTCATACAGCTCAACAAAAGGAAGACAGAGAACCCAATTCAAAAAATGGCCAGAGGAACTAGATAGACACCTCTCCAAATAGGATATACAAACAGCTAAGAGACATATGAAGAAATGCTCAACATCACTAATCATCAGAGAGATGCAAATTAAAACAACAATGAGATATCACCCCACACCTGCCAGAATGGGCTATCATCAACAAATCATCAAATAACAAGTGTTGGTGAGGGAGTGGAGAAAAGGGGACTCTAGTACACTGCTGATGGGAATGCAGACTGGTGCAGCCACTATGGAAAACAATAATGGTGTTACCTCAGAAAATTAAAAATTGAACTGCCATTTGACCCAGTGATCCTTTTTCTTTATGTAATTTATTCAGAACATTAAAAATATTTCTAAGTGTTTCTATATACAAATTCTGTATCTTTTCCATTTTCTACTTATGTAGGCTAACTGTGATCTCAGACGGCAAATAGATGAACAACAAAAATTACTTGAAAAATACAAAGAACGATTAAATAAGTGCATATCAATGAGCAAGAAACTGCTTATTGAAAAGGTAAAAGTTCACTACAATTTCTCTTTCCTTTTACTAGTCCCTTTTTGCCTTGTATGCTTTTAAAATTTGAATGAATATAATTGAGTGATGGTTTTTTTTCTCTTTTTTCAGAGTAACCAAGAAAAACTAGCAAGCCGGGAGAAGAGTATGCAAGACAGATTACGCCTTGGACACTTCACAACAGTTAGACATGGTGCTTCATTTACTGAACAATGGACAGATGGTTTTGCATTTCAGAATCTTGTGAAGTTAGTCATTCTTACATTTTAAAAAATTGAGTATTTTTTTGGGTTTTCATTACTTTCAATGATTAGAGATTTGAATTATGTTCTGTTATTCCTGCTACTCTTTGAGATCACAGAATTTAGTACATTTGAAAGGAACATAAAACCAAAGATACAATTTTAACTTTAGCAGACCTCTTGGCTAGTTAGTATTTTTTTTTTTATCCTCACCTGAGGACATTCCTTCATCCTCTGTTCAGATAGAAAGGGAGGGAGAAAGAAGAAGAGAGAGAGAGAGAGAAACATCGACGTGAAAGGGACACATCGAGTGGCTGCCACCCACACAACCTAACCAGGGCCGGGGACAAACTACAATCAAGATACACTCCCCTAGCGGGAACCGAACCCAGACCGCAGTCCGACACTCTAACCACTGAGCAATACCGGCCAGGGCTAGTTAGTATTCTTTTATATGATGTGATGTATTATTCTAAATATGACTTTCCAAAATGCAGACTGACCTTCTAGCTTTATAGATGATTTAGTAGTAAAATTGTTGAAAATCTGTGTATGTGTTGGGATTTTTCTGCTTAGTTTTTTTCTCATTCCTCGATTCTTTCTGTTGTTGTTGATCCTTACCGAAGGAGATTTTTCCTCAGGTAAGGATTAGATAAAGTGGGAGGGAGGGAGAGAGAAACATTGATGTGAAAGAGACATATTGATTGATTGCCTCCCGCACGACCCTGACCTACAGGAGCTAGGGATCAAAACAGGTACATGCTTTGACTGGGAGTATAACCCATGACCCTTTGGTTCCTAGGCTGATGCTGAGCCAAATCGACCAGGTCTCATTCCCCAATTCTTACTTAAATGTTGATATTCAGTACTTACCTACTCTCTATTTCTACAAAAAAGACAGTAACTTTTTTTCTTCTGCCTCAGATATAATACCTCATAAATCAGTTGAACATGTGGCTTTAGTGTTTTTGAGGTAAACTTTAAAATTTAAAAAAAAAATCATTGTTACTATATATTCTTGAGTTCAGATGGTGGAAAGGATAGGTTAACTGTTTATATGCTAAGTAGCCAGGATCTATGCTGCTCCTCCTTTACTGGGGAAAAAATTATTTTAAACATGAAAAGCAGTCGTGTCAGCATCTACATCAACTTTTCCAGAGTCAATCCAGTTAAATGGAAAATGAAGGCAAAGCATTCTTTCACAAAGCATTGTTTATCACATAAAAATTGTTGTTTGAAACACTGGTGCCCATGACTTATCACAGTATGACCTTCTCTGTATCTCAGTTGATTTATTCAGCTTTGCTCTGCTGGATGTTAGGTACACCATAATGAAAGAGTGTCTTGTGATGCTGGGAATTTAAGGTTTTAATTCTGTGGGAAATGAAGAGCTGCTAAAGGTTGTATGTAGTGTGTGTGGTCAGAATTGAGTTTTAGAAAGGTAACTGATGATAATGTTGGAATAATACTGGAAAGAAGTTAAATTGTTGACAGTTCAGATGGAGAGGTGTCCAAATGAAAGGTGATTAGGCTTGAGCTAAAACATCGACAGTGAAAGTGGAGAGTAGGAGTGACGTTGGAGATAGAAAACATATTTTTTTTAGTGTTTTATGATCAAGAACCTCTGCTACTAACCCAGACACCTACAGTTGTCCTGGTAATGAATAAAAGAGAAGTTTAGATAATATAACCTTAGATATAAACTAAAAATATAAACTCTGCCAGTAGCTAAAGTTTCTCCAATGAGCTGTCCAAAAAGAGCAAAATTGGAGTTTCCATGTTGTTTGAACATGTGATGTGAGGAGAGGGGCACACTCACAAGCTGCATCCTTGCCCGGTGCCTCCTTGCCCTGCGCATCTATCGCTCGCTCTCTTCCACCAGGCTTTTCTTGCATTATATCCTGTTACAGTAAACTGGCAATCTAGTTGTTTGGTTTTTTAAAAATTCTCACATTTCTTATTGCTAATAAGAATTTATTGAGCGTCTATTATGTGTTTTCACATACATGTCTTTTTTTAAACATTTAAAAAATTTACTGATTTTATAGAGGGAGAGAGGGAGGGAGAGAGAAACATCGGTTTGTTGTTCCACATATTTATGCATTCATTGGTTGATTCTTTTGTGTTCCCTGACTGGGGGTTAAACCTGCAACCTTGGTATATCTGGACCAAGCTCTAACCAACTGAGCTATCCAGCCAGGGCACATATACATATCTTATGTCAAGCTGTTTATCAGTGTGTATCAGTGACATTAAACTCAGAGTACTTGGAGAAGGAGCAGAGAAATAAATAAAAATTAGTGATATTAAATTAATAGGCTCTAAATTATATGGTCATTTTTTAAATCAGGTATTGGCTATCTTTTCATTCTAGTTTTTACTTTCCATTAGAATTTCAATCATTAGGGTTCAATCATTGTTGAAGTTCATTTTCATTTATAACAACTTGATCATGCTCCAAACTAGCTTTAAAAATTAAGTTTTTAAATAAGTTAAAATGATTTATTTCTACTTTTAATTGAAAACTGGATTAAAGTATTGTCCTAACTTTGCTATTCTTGAGATTTTCTCAACTCTCCTACCTAGGTGATTCTTGGTTCTTTTACTTCTATATTTTACTGCTACTTCACTAGAACCACAGGAAAAGGATATGTTTGTAAAGCCAATTTTGCATCAGCCGAGTAGAAGTTCTGTAGTTCTGGTTTGAATGTGGGTAGGGGAGCAAGGAATTGAAATATTTGACCTGTTGTAAAACTAAGTAGCATTGTCATGTATAGTTTAAAAATGTTTTGTTAGCATGGTAAGGTGACCCAAAAGGGAACATGGTTACTATTAGAATAAGCTTAATGAGTTGTATGATGGGATGACCTTAAAAAGCTTTAGTGTTACCAACTTAACCCTCTGGTCAAATTACTAGAATCTGCCCTGGCCAGTTTGGCTCAGCAGTTGGAGCGTCGGCCTTCGGACCAGAGTCCCAGGTTCGATTCCCACTAAGGGCACATACCACAGTTGCAGTTTGTCTCTGCAGTTGGGATCCTGTGGGTGGCAGCCACTCGATGTGTCTCTCTCACATAGATGTTTCTCTCTCTCTCTTTCCCCCTCTCCCTCCCGCTCTATCTGAAGATAAATGCAAAAAAAAAAAAAAATTGCTGAAATCTTGAACCTATATTTTTATAGACCTGATATCTGTAATTTTCTAGAATTAATAAGCTTTAGATTCTTGAATGGGTAGCAGTAATATTTTTACTTTTATTAATTGCCTATTTTTCAAACCCATGCTATTTTTTTTTTTTTCTGTTTTCTTTAAATTGTCAAAATTTCTTTTTTGTAAATTCTTATTTTGAGGTCAGTTTTTGTTTCGTTTGAAATTATCACTTGCGCCCTGCCTGGTTTGGCTCTAGCGGTTGGAGCGTCGGCCTGTGGACCAGAGAGTCCTAGGCTTGGTTCCCACTAGGGGCACGTACCAAAAAAAAAAAAAAAAGTCTCTGGCTTCTCAAAATATCACTTACCCATTTCCAAAATTTCTTTTTAACAGAGATAAATTTAGAAAATAATACTTTATTAAGTTCATATATGTCTTCTGTACTTTTTTCTGCAAACACTAAGTGATGAGATACATGTATAAACTCTACCCCATACTTAATTTAACTCTGTTCTTTTAAAAAAAAAAATTTTTTTTTTATTGATTTTTAGAGAGAGGAAGGGAGAGGGAGAGAGAGATAGAAACATCAGTGAGAGAGGACATCAATTGGTCGCCTGCTGCATGCCCCCCACTGGGAATTGGGCCCACAACTTGGGCATGTGCCCTGACCGGGAATCGAACCGGCAGCCTCTTGGTGCATGGGTGGGCCTTCAACCACTGAACCACACCAGCTGGGCTGTTAGTTCTTTTTTAATAGCATGTACATTTCATTCTGCAAATACAGGAGTGGGCAAAAGGAGGTTTATAGTTGTGAGTATGCGAAACACAGACTTAATAAAGCAACTGTAGTAATCATAGCCTGCATGTCTTTTTTTTATACAAACAACTGAAAATCCCTATAGTTTGTGAATACCTAGTATGTACCAATCCCTCTGTTGGACACTAGGAATACAATAGGATATAAAATAGATGTAGTGTCTGTTCTCGTGGAGTGATGTAGTCCAACCAGACCATTCTGATCAAGTATCTTTAGGAATAGTATTTGTTAGAAAGGCGGTGGGGAGCTGCAGGACACCATGAGAATATATATGGTAACACATCTTCCCTAGTCGAGGGGCTTAAGGGTGAGGGTTACCTCATTTAGAAATGAGTGTTTCAAACGAAACCTGGACAGTGAGTACTAGTGGTTGACAAAGGAGGGACCAAAAAGATACAAATTTATATAGTGACTTTTCATGATTGTTAATATATTTTCATGTGAAAAGTTAATGGAACATTAATGTTTTCTTTTTACATTTATTTTTGTACAGGCAACAAGAATGGGTGAATCAGCAAAGGGAAGATATTGAAAGGCAAAGGAAACTTCTAGCCAAACGCAAGCCACCCACAGCTAATAATTCACAGGCACCCTCTACCAATTCTGAACCAAAACAAAGGAAAAACAAAGCAGTCAATGGAGCAGAAAATGACCCCTTTGTTAGACCAAATTTACCACAACTGTAAGCCTCCATTTTTTATTTTCCTTTTTTAAAATTGTAGCCAGTGAGCAAGAATGTTAGAAATGGATGTTATTTATAATTAAACTAATATTTAACTACTAATTTTAGTTATGGCCAGGAAGGAAGGCAGTATTGAAAATCTACCTCTAAATTAATAAGCCCCAAATATCTGAATTTTACTTTTGTAAGTTGAGAGTTATTAATCCTCTTAAAAACGGAGACTTAGGTAGCTAAGAGGAGACTGGAATCCCCTTTCATGTCTGAGTGAGTCTGTTATTAATGTTCCATTTTCTAAGAGAATGTTAACTTCTAGCTGCCATATATTTTCTCAACCCGTGGAAGCAATACTTGATAGGTTATAGGTATTGTTTTTCTCCTTTCTGCTTTTCTTTTTATTTATTTATTTATTTTTGTTATCCTCACCTGAGGACATTTTTCCATTTTTTGTTCAGATAGAGTGGGAGGGAGAGAGAAGAGAGAGAGAAACATCAACGTAAAAGGGACACATCGAGTGGCTGCCACCTGCATGACCAACCAAGGCCAGGGACAAACTGCAACCAAGGTACTTGGCCCTTAGCAGGAACCGAACCCGGGTCTCTGTGGACCGCAGGCCAATGCTCTAACTGCTGAGCCAAAGCGGCCAGGGCTCCTTTCCGCTTTTCTTTGTTTTCTAAATTTCTTGCTTTAATGCTGAGTTACTTTTTATAATTAAAGGGACAAAGACATTACAAAAATAGTTACATGCTTATCGTAGAAAATTTGGAAAATATGGAAGAACATATAAAACGATATAGATTACGATCTGATCCCACAGAGAACACCACTGTTAAAATTTTGATATGTAGTAGTCCTCCCGTATTTGTGTTTTGCTTTTCACAGTTTCAGTTATCTATGGACAACCATGGTCCAAAATGTTAAATGGAAAATTCCAGAAATAAACAATTTATAAGTTCTAGATTGCATGTTATTTCGAGTAGTGTGATGAAACCTCACACCATCCCACTCTGTCCCACCTGGGACATGCATCATCCCTTTGTCCAGTGCATCCACACTGAACACTGCCAGCTCTTAGTCACTGGCCGTCATGGTTATTAGATCGAACATCATGGTACCACAGTGTTTGTGTTAGGTAACCCTTATTTTACTTGATAATGGCCCCAAACTATAAGAGTAGTGATGTTGGCAATCCAGATATACCAAAGAGAAACTCTGAAATGCTTCCTTAAAGTGAAAAGGTCAGTACAGTACAGTACAATAAGGTATTTTGAGAGAGCACACATTTACATAATTTTTATTACAGTGTATTGTTATTGTTTTATTATGGTTGTTAATCTCTTGCTGTGCCTAATTTATAAATAAAACTTTATCATAGGTATGTACGTATAGGAAAAACATAGTATGGACAGGATTTGGTACTGTCCGTGGTTTGGGACAGCGGTTCTCAACCTGTGGTTGACAACCCCTTTAGGGATCGAATGACCCTTTCACAGGGGTCGCCTAAGACCATCAAAAAACACATATTTCCGATGGCAGTTCATAACAGTAGCAAAATTACGTTATGAAATAGCAGCGAAAATAATTTTATGGTTGGGGGGTCACCACAACATGAGGAACTGCATTAAAAAGTTGTGGCATTAGGAAGGTTGAGAACCACTGGTTTGGGGCATCCATTGGGGGTCTTGGAGTGTATTCCCAGTGGATAAGGGGGGAATATTATATCGATGTATCTAAACTTATTTTTCTGTTCTACAAGAACTTACATAAGTTCATGTGAGTAGAAAATACACACACATACACACACACCCTGTTTGATATTTCACATGGATGTATTCTTTTTCTCCTTTCTTGAAAGATAATGTTTCACCCATGCTTTGAATCTCGTTCCCTGCTATATCAGGGACTTCTTCTACTGATACTTTCTTTATCTTAGTATGTGTTAAACCTTTTGTTCTATTTTAGAAAACAAAACAGAAACCTCTCTCTCAGTTATAAATCCTTTTAGTCTTCATATTCTGTCATCTTCATATGATGACATCTTCTGACCTCTGTAGCCTCAGTTACTATTTTCTTATATGTATCATCATGTAACGTTTATGTTTCCCTCACTGGCTTTCAAGATAAAATTCATTCTCATGAAGACCCTTTATTGACCTTCTTATTTCTCTCCCTGTCCTTATTCCCCAACAGCTACCCTGTGTATCCTGTGTTAAACTCTTTCAATTCTCTAAATGGCCTCTGCTTTCTGTGCCTTGTACATCTTGTTTCTTGCCTTTCTTCACCTTATTTCCTATTCGTCCTTTAGCACTTGGCTCAGATACCAATTTCAATAGAAAGCCCTTTCTAACCTTGTGTCTTCCTCGTTTCCCCTCTCCCCCTCAAGTTTGGTACCCATAGCCTTTTGTACATTCCTGCCTATATTGTAGCATTTATATTACTATTTCATCCTTATAAGTATTCTCAATATCTAGCACAGTTCCTGGCGAATGGAAAGTGGTAGGTAAATACTAAAGTACAATACATAAGCATTTGATTTTCATTTTCTCTTACTCAACAGACCATTTTTCTAGTTTGTTACAGGTGTTTAGCTTCCTGCTTGCTTCCAAGATGCTAACAGCTGTAGCTATAGTTTAATAATCATAGACTTGTCTCATTTCCATCCCATTTTATTGCATATATTGACTTAGAACTAACCCTAAAGTTATGCCGCTATGTGTTCTTGGAATGGCAAATTAAGTGATACTGCACAGCAATTTGATTACATCCTTATGCAGATGCAGGTTTAAATAGGGGGAAAGCCACAAAAGCACTTTGGTTCATGTATATTAAAGTTTGATTTTAGCAGCCATGCTCTGCAACTGACTTCTGAAAGCTCCTTTTGAATCATCGTTTAGTGGAAAGTAGGCTTTGTCTTGTGTGCAAGAATATCTAGTATAATTAGAATAGAGATCATGAATCTTCAGTTATTTTTCTATGAAGAAATTAACATAGAAAATGAAGTTACTACTGAGTAGTGTTTAGTTTTAAGCCCTGTAATCAGACAGATGTAGAGTCCATCCTTGCCTCTTTCAGGTTATTTTTGGTAAGCTGTTTTACCTCTTAGAGCTATCGTTTTCTTATTAAAGTACCTACATCATAGTGTTGAAAGATAATATGTGGTAGTGCATGTAAAATATTTGCATTGTTCCTGGCTCTTAACTAACTTTTAACTATCAGCAAGGTTCAGTCAACTTTTTATGGTAGTTTCTAATTTTAGTCACAAGCACTTATTACATAGTTTATATAACTAATATTATCTATAGATAATGCCTGAGTGATCCTTGCATTAATTGTACATTATTAATACATTTTAATCAAGATTTGGACTTTAGCCCTGGCCAGGTAGCTCAGTGGGTCGGAGCATCGTCCCGTACAACAAAAAGGTTTTGCATTTGATCCCCAGTCGGTCACATACAGGAAGCAACCAATGTTTCTCTCTCATGTTGCTGTTTTTCTATTTCTCTTTCAATCTTTCTAAAAAATCAATTGAGGAAAAGTCCTCAGGTGAGGATAAAAATAAAAGATTTTGACTTCATGTAAAATATATTTTAAACGATTTTTATTTTATTTATATATTCATAAGGAATTATAAGTGGTTATTTCATAACTCTCAAAGGTTCCAGTCACCAGAAACATATAATAATTCTAAATTTGTATACACATAATATCATGGCCTTAAGATAAATTTAAAATTGACAGTACTTTAAGGAGATATTGACAGACCCACAAATCATAATGGAAGATTTCAACACACACATTTCTTAGTAGATAAAAATAAAATAATATAAAATAACAAACAGTATGGGTCTAGAAAATGTAGACTATTTTTTTCCCCTCACCCGTGGACACCCTTGCATTTATCTTCAGATAGAGCGGGAGGGAGAGGGGGAGGAAGAGAGAGAGAGAAACATCGATGTGAGAGAGACACATCAAGTGGTTGCCACCCACACGACCTGGAGATCAGGGACAAACCGCAACCAAGCCACGCGCCCTTAGCGGGAACCGAACCCGGGACTCTCTGGTCTGTGGGCTGATGCTCCAACGACTGAGCCAAACCGGCCAGGGCGAAAATGTAGACTTTTATAAAAATCGACCATGTTAGGTCACAAAGAAAGTCTCAACAAATTTCAAAGAATTCAAAGTTTGTAGAAGATGGATTGTTTTGTCCTTAAATGTTTGGTAGACTCATGGGTGGAACTTCAAGGATTAGAATCATAGAGAATATGTTTTGTGACCACAGTGGAATTAAACTAGAAGTCAGTAACAAAAATGGTTGTGGAAAAGTCTAAATGGAAATGGGAAAATATTTTTAGATGAATAGTGCAAGTGCTACATAGCAAACTTTGTGAGATAAATCTAAAACAGTATCTAGCCCTGGCCGGTTTGGTTCAGCGGTTAGAGCGTCGGCCTGCGGTCCGGAGAGACCCGGGTTCAGTTCCCGCTAAGGGCTCGTACTTCGGTTGCAGTTTGTCCCCGGCCCTGGTCGGTTGTGTGGGTGGCAGCCACTCGATGTGTTCCTTTCACATTGATGTTTCTCTCTCTCTCTCTGTTCCTCTCTCTCCCTCCCACTCTACCTGAACAAAAAATGGAAAAATGTCCTTGGGTAAGGATAAAAAAAATAAAAATAAAAAAAAATAAAACAGTATCTAGAGGGATATTTATAGACTTGTATACATATAGGAAAAGAAGAAAAACTAAAACTTTATAGACTAAGCATCTATTTCAGTACGTTAAGAGGTGAGTAGTAGAATGAGCCAATTAGCCAAAGAAGGAATAAGTGAAACATAAGAACAGTAATTCATGATGCAGTAAGCAAACATACATACAGAGAATCAATAAATCCTAAAAAAGAAATGGATGTGTGTTTAAAAAAGAAAAACTAATGAAATTTTTAAAAAAAGAGAAGACACCCATTATCAGGAATGAAAAAAGGAATATTACTAGAGTCTATAAATATTTAAAGG